AGCTTTCAGAAAGATGATGTGATAAAACTACTGAACAATGACGCTCAGTGGTGGAAAGTAAGTATTTCATTTACAGCGGAGAGATTGATAACTGTAAAACAAAGATCATCATGTTGATTTCAGAAACTAAATGGCTGAAGATACTTTCTTCTTAATTTAACAGAACATGGAGTAAGAACACTTTTATTGCTATATTTAAACTGTTCTAGAATCAGTATCATTGGTAACATCTTTTTACAATTTTTAGGGACTGCTGAACGGAGATGAGGGCTGGTTCCCTTCACAACTTGTGCAAGAGGAAAATAATCCAAGGGTAAGATGTCGTGTTCTGTAATGATAAAACATCTGTCAATCTAATAACTCGGTGTCTGGAGTTGGAATTCATATTATGATGCTGTATTACTTTTTTTATAACAAAGTAAACCAAATACTTTGCTGACTTTGTTTTTGAAACAGAAGAATAAAGCATATGATGGTAATGCAGTTTGGTAGGTTCTTTTCAAATAGAAATTTTTGAGAAAGCATGAAGCTTAAGCAGTATTACCCACACCCCCCATTTCAGCATGTGAATTATTTGTATAAATCAACATTTTACAGACATAACTTTACACCTATCCAACAACCAACTGTTCCCCTGTTATTCTCTGTGAGAATCCAATAAAAGACTCACAGAATGAGTTTTAAGTACCCCCAGTTTTGTTCTGGATGACAGTGATTTGTGTGTGTTGGCCACCAAGCTGTGATTTATTGAATTGCTGCTGAGATTTCATTTGAATGTCGACTGCAGGTCGAGCTTGTATATGTTGATTGGCTTGTTATATAGGAATGTAATCTACATGTTTGTAACCAGCTTTTTATTGTCATCAGATCCGCAGAAAACCCTCGTATTTGGATGTGAAAATGAAGAATGGAACGCCCAGTATTGTATCCCCACCCCCCCCCCACACCCCCCCAAACAATGTTACCGATGTTAATGTGGATAGCGACGGAATGTCCAGTCAGCTCAATGTCTATAAATGGTATGTCAGCCATTCTATGTTGTGATGAACCAGGGAAGTTTCATATTTAAGTATGATTATACAGGAATCAAAGTTATCCATTACGTCGATTGTCATTACAAATAAAAGTAATCTTTTTTAAAGTAAATTTCTGTAAAATAACATTGAAATAGTAAGTTTATATGTATTATTATATTTAGGTTTGTGGGTCCAATGGACAGAGACACTGCCAATCGCAGACTTGGCAACATGCCAAACGGGACGTTCTTAATTCGAGTCAGTGAGAACCCAGGCAGGAGAGGGGAGCTCTCTCTCAGTATTCGGTAAACACAGTTTAAATTATCAGATACATCTGCCTGTATTTACTGAAAGGTTTCAGACTGTAACCTTTAAATTGTATTTTATGTATGAAACACACAATTCCACCAGATCCATCTGGTTTCTACTTGGGTAATTGAAATGTCAAAATGTGTTATAAAATACTTCTAAATATTACAATTTTTTAGGATTTCCGGAGAAATATTAAAAATGATACTTTAATTCTTTTTTAAAAAAAATTTTTAATAGCATTTTTTGATAATTTTTTGTTCATAATGAATCAACACACATAATAAAGAAATCAATCTACCAATTAATGAAATGCAATGGAAACCCCAGTTGGGCCCCCTTTAAAATGGTGTGAATAACTGCAGTGCAAAGGCTAGCATCATTGAGTGTACCAAAAGGGGGGGGGGGGGCAATTTTATACCTTTAGATATTTTTTGTTTTTATAAATTTTGAAAAAAAATGTTTCTAGAGAAGGAGATGATAGATGGTAATGTTGTATTTGTACATAAGAATTACTGTATGAAGTTTATTTGTTTTAGATATGCAGAAACATTTTTTCAATTGTATTGTTTGTCTTGCTATATAGCAAAGTGGATGTTAATTATTAATTTTAAGAATTAGTTTATATCCATATTTTTAGCTCACCTGAGCCGAAGGCTCAAGTGAGCTTTTCTGATCACATTTTGTCCGTCGTCCGTCCGTCTGTCCGTCCGTCCGACCGTCTGTCCGTCTGTCTGTCCGTCTGTAAACTTTTCACATTTTCGACTTCCTCTCAAGAACCACTGGGCCAATTTTGACCAAACTTGGTACAAAGCATCCTTGGGTGAAGAGGAATTTAAATTGTTAAAATGAAGGGACATATCCCCTCGCAAGGGGAGATAATCAAGAAAAGACAAAAATAGGGTTGGGTCATTAAAAAATCTTCTTCTCAAGAACCACTGGGCCAGAAAAGCTGAAACTTATGTGGAAGCATCCTGGTATAGTGTAGATTCTAAATTGTTCACATCATGACCCCCGGGGGAAGGGCAGGGCCACAATGGGGGATCAAAGTTTTATATAGAACTAGGAGACTTATTGTTCACAGAACAATAAGAGGTCTTTCCACCTTTTGAATTTCAATTTCATTTAATATTTATCTATTTAAAATTAAATTTCATAAAAAAGAAACCAGGAATGGCTTAAAAGAAGAAAAAAATGAAAATGAATTTTTTTTTTTTAGGTGACTTTGACCTTTGACCTTCAAGTCATATTCAAGGTCAAAGGTCAAGGGTCACATTGTAATTAACCCCATGTCTCTATGACATATAGTTTTAAAGTTATAAGGTTTAATAGTAAGCACAAAAGCATTTAAGGGCAGTAACTCGTTCAAGAAGTCACCAGATACTTTTGCACTTGAACATTTAAGTTTTGCCTAAAGTCCCATAAGACATAAGAGAAGGTTTCATGTCTTTGCAGTTTACGGTTAAGGAGCAATAGCAATAAAAATGTTTTTCGCACAAGGGGCAATAACTTTTAATATGGTCAATCTAAAGGGACAAGAATGAAATCTTTGACACAGTTTTAAGAGTACATATTAATGATGCATAGACATTAAGCATATGTTGAAAGACAAAAGAGATATAAAAAGAGCTAAATTTCTCAGTTTTAGAATGACCTTGACCTTTGACCTTTACATGAATTTTAAGCTCAAAAGTCAATGAATCTTATGCAGTTAGTCTCATGTCTCTATATCTTCTCGTTTTGAAAATTTTTAATTATTTGTAAAATTGAAAAACTTTCAGGGGCAATAACTCATTGAAAGAGTCACCAAAGACTTTCGCAATGAATAAATCCCAGAATCCTCTCAATAAGTCAAAGACTTTAGTGAAGGTTTCATATTTGTACGGTTTACGGTTTTGAAGTAGTAGCGATAACAAGGTTTTCCGCACAAAGAGCGATAACTTTTAATAGCATCAATCTTACGGAATACGAATTGAATCTTTAAAATAGTTTTAAGAGTACATATTAATGATGCTAAGACATTTTGTGTAAGTTAAGAGACAAAAGAGATATAAAAAGAGCTTAATTTCTCAATTTTGGAACGACCTTGACCTTTGACCTTTACATGAATTTTAAGATCAAAGCTCAATGAATCTTATGCAGTTGGTCTCATGTCTCTATCACTTCTCGTTTTGAAAATATTTAATTATTTCTAAAATTCAAAAAGTTTCAGGGGCAATAACTCATTGAAGGGGTCACCGAATACTTTCGCAATGAATAGATTCCAGAATCCTCTTAATTAGTCAAAGACTTTAGTGAAGGTTTCATATGTCTACGGTTTACGGTTTCGAAGGAGTAGCGATAACCAGCATATCTTGCGAAAGGGGCAATAACTTCGAAAGAGTTCATAGTTCAAATACGCAGGGTTTTTTGCAAATATCTCTTACAAAGTACAATCTTATAAACTATAAATCTTTTCAAAAGACCTTGAAACAAAAATTCGTCCGGCGGAAAAATAATAAAAATAATAACTAGGAGACTTATTGTTCACAGAACAATAAGAGGTCTTTCCAGCTTTTTAAGTGTTTCCGTGTCATTTGGGTTGAAAAAAAAGAAGAAAAACGCAAAAAAAAAAAAAAAAAAAAAAAAAAAAAAATTAAAAAGTGCTGCCAGCAGGATTCGAACTGCGGACCCTCAGATTACAAGGCGAGCGCTCTATGCACTACGCTACAGGCTCCGATGAAATTGTTTTCCGTAAACTGACAGTGTAGAAAAAAGAAGAAATGAAAACACGTGGATTTAAATAAAAATAGAGACGCGTGCAGTTTTAAATAGTACAGAAACACGTGTATTTATTTGTTTGTGATGGAACATAGAGAGGAATAATGAATAGTTCTGAGAAAAACGATTGGTGGATAATGAAAATGGAGATTTCCTATAAAAAAAATCATTTGAGTTTGTTTATAGTTTGAATAAATTGAGTTAATCATACAGAGCTTATGATACATTCGAACTTCCGTGTCGGCACTGTGTTTACAATTTGTGAAAATATAGGCGCGTTTGTTTTAACAGATATAGTGAACTCATAGGTTAGATTAAATAATCATCTCTATTTGGATTGAATTAGTAGTTATGAGCATAAATTAAACTTGAAACATGCACTTCATGAAGAAAACGGTGTCACCGAGAGCGTGGAAATTTATTTGATAGGAAAAATCGCTATTTTCAAGATTGATCCGATTAATATTAAATCTAAATAAAATTGAAATAAATTCCACATTTTAAAGAAAGTAAGGATACTTGGTATTAAGATGTCGTATTAGAGCAGGAGAATCGAGTGCTATTAACAAAAACTTGAGAAATTGCCAAATCAAACTTTAATTAATTTTTATGCTCATCAGCACTTAAATTTCAGACAGAAAAAAAAATTTAGTTTTCGCCGATATTAAATAGAATTTCATAATACTTAAGAGACTTAGCGTTAAACTCTCAGGACACTTTCTTTGAGGTGTCTTCTAGATTTTAATCTGAATTTCATGTCGATCTGTGATCTCCTTTAAGATGTACAAAATTTATCTACGTCGCTATTGATTTTTCATTTTTTTGAGAAAGGATGGGGGGGGGGGGATATAAGCATTTGTTTAAGAGAGAGTTGTAAATACCTCCAAGACCTTTAGCTTGATTGTGACCTTTGGGTCAATGGGGTCAAAGGTCAAGGTCATTTATCAAGGTCAAAGGTCAAGGTCGTCTAAAAAAAAAAAAACAACAACACACTTACAAACTTGAGTTTTACACGTGAAGCTGAATCTAGGTAAAGGCAATGAATATACCTTTTTAACTTTTGGGAAATGGTCAAGGTCAAAGGTCAAAGGTCAAGGTCAAATATCAAGGTCAAAGATCAAGGCCATTTTAACAAAAACCCGTAAATAAGCAGTTTTGATACTTCCCAATGATCTTGACCTTTGACCTTGACCTAATCTTCAAGGTCAAAGGTCAAAAGATCTCATGCAGTTGGGCCCATGTCTTTACGACTTGTCGTTAAGAAGTTTTTAGTTCTTCGTAAACATCATAAACTTGCAGGGGCAATAACTACTTAAAACGGTTTACGAATTCTTTCGCACTAATAGAATGAGAAGTGTACTAAATTAGTCGCAGACATTGTTGAAGGTTTTGTACCTCTACGGTTTACGGTTTCGGAGGAGTAGCGATAACAAGGGTTTACACTGAAAGGGGCACTAACTTTTAGAGGGTTCAGTCTTAGGGGACAAGCATGGAATCTCTGAAATGGTTTTAAGAGTACATACTAAAAATACAAAGATGTTTAGAATTTGGTTAAGAACAAAAGAGATATAAAAAATGCTTAATTTTACATATTTTGAATGACCTTGACCTTTGACCTTGACCTAGATTTTAAGGTCAAAGGTCAAGAAATCTTTTGCAGTTGGTCCCATGTCTCTACGCCTTGTCGTTTAAGAAAAGATCTTGATATTCGTAAACGTTGCACACATTCAGGGGCAATAATTCAATATAGGAGTTTACGAATCCTTTCGCAATGTTTGATTGGAGAGTCTACTAAATCAGTCGTAAACATTAGTAAAGGTCTGGAATCTCTGCGGTTTATGGTTTCGGAGGAGTAGCGATAACAAGCTTTTATTAGGTCACCTGAGTAAACTCAGGTGACCTATTGCTGTCTGTTTTTGTCCGTCGTCGTCCGTCGTACGTCGTTCGTCGTACGTCGTTCGTCGTTCGTCGTCAATCGGTCGTAAACTTTTGAACATTTTCAGCTTCTTCTCTGCAACCACTGAACCAATTTCAACCAAATTTGGCACAAAGCATCTATGGGTGAAGGGGAACAAAAATTGTGAATTTCATGATCCCTGCCCCCCTGGGGCCTGGGGGGTGGGGCCAAAACCACTAAAATTAATGCAATCTTCAAAAATCTTCTTCTTTACTCCTGGACATCAAGCAGTCAAACTGTTTGCATGATTGTAGTCAGCATTGAGTCCTTTACCAAAATTGTGAAATTCATGGCCCTGGGGTCAGGGGTTCTTGTACTAGGGCGGGGCTAAATAAGTATATAGTGAAAATGCATTATTTCTTTGAAAATCTTCTTCTCTGCTCCTGGGTATTAAATAAACTAACTAAGTACATAGTTATGATGAGCAAGAGTGCCTCTACCAAAATTGTGAATTTTATGGCCCCAGGGTCAGGGGTTCTGGTGTCAGGGTGGGGCTCTATTGATTATATAGAGGAAATACATGAATTCTTTGAAAATCTTCTTCTTTACTCCTGGGTATTAAATAAACTAACTAAGTATATAGTTATGATGAGCAAGAGTGCCTCTACCAAAATTGTGAATTTTATGGTCCCAGGGTCAGGGGTTCTGGTGTTAGGGTGGGGCTCTACTGATTATGTAGTGAAAATACATGAATTCTTTGAAAATCTTCTTCTCTTCTCCTAGATTTTATATAATTTAACTAAGTACATAGTTATGATGAGCAAGAGTGCGTCTACCAAAATTGTGAATTTTATGGCCCCAGGGTCAGGGGTTCTGGTTTTAGGGCGGGGCTCTATTGATTATATAGTGAAAATACATGAATTCTTTGAAAATCTTCTTCTCTGCTCCTAGGTTTTATATAAACTATCTAAGTACATAGTTATGATGAACAAGAGTGCCACTACCAAAATTGTGAATTTTATGGCCCCAGGGTCAGGGGTTCTGGTTTTAGGGTGGGGCTCTATTGATTATATAGAGGAAATACATGAATTCTTTGAAAATCTTCTTCTTTACTCCTTGTTATTAAATAAACTAACTAAGTACATAGTTATGATGAACAAGAGTGCCTCTGCCAAAATTTTGAATTTTATGGCCCCAGGGTCAGGGATTCTGGTGTTAGGGCAGGGCTGTATTGATTATACATGTATAGTGAAAAAACATTAAATCTTTGAATATTTTCATCTTTGCTCCTAGGTTTTAAGCAGATGAATTACCTATATAGTTATGAGCAATCCCTAATCTTCAAGAATTGTAAATTTCAAGGCCCCAGGGTCAGTTGTACCATAGTGGGGGGGGGGGGGGGGGGGGGGCTGTACTTATGTACTGAAAATGAATGAATTGTTTGAAATGTGCTCCTTGGTATTAATCAAATATTTTTGAAAAGCAAGTATGCCTTTCCAAAAATAGTGCAATGTGTGGATCTAGGCCTAAGAGTCAAGGGTTCATGTGTGGTAGCGGCACTACTGATTATTGCTGAATATTACTGATCAGTTGAAATGCATTTTTTGTTCCCCTACCCTGCCTATGGGTATAAAGTGACCAAACTAAGGAACTGCTAAGTGTATAGTTATGAT